AAGGGAAGAAAGGGACGGGAATTTGAACTTTCCACATCGGTCCGGCGCCCTGGACGATCAGGTTGCAACATGACCTGGGCCCGGGGCCAGAGCATGTGGGCCAAGGTTACATCGCCTCCAGCCAATGGGGTCTCGGCTAGGCTGCCGCGGTTGGGGGTGGGCAACACCCCCGCAATCCCCACCCCAGCTCCGGCTCCGGCTCCTGGTCCTCGAGGGCCGTTCTGTATCCAGTGGTTCTCAGAAGGGGAGGAGGCGCCGCAGAGGAAGAGGAATATTTGCACAGAGAAAAGATCAAGGCCGGCCCATCCCCCTTTCACCTCTATGGTTTTCAGTTGATAATTTATCCCGGCCCCTCCGCTCCTGGGAACTTTGCTCCAGGGCACTGGGCCAGAACCCGGGTTCGCGCCCTCCCCTAGGACACAGGCGTGGGGCTAGGGCCGGGCGCGGTCCTCGCGCTCTGCGACGCGCCGAGCAAGGGTCCCAGGCAGCGTTAGGCGCTCAGCCTCGGGTGGGTGGCGACCGGGGTAGGCGAACCCAGGCCTCCAGGGCACCAACCCCCACGCGGCGTTCTGCACCCCCTGCCGGGCGACCGCTGGGAAACTCTGCCAGCTCCCCCCCCTCCCCCGTCCGCCCGCGGCGCCCTTCTCTCGCCACCCTGGATCTAGCAGGTCAAGAACAGGTGTCCCGGCAATTGGGGAGTGCAGGGTGGAGGAGAGACTGGGTTTCGAACGACGTTGGCTATGAGTCCGGACAATCATGGGCTTGAGGAGTGTCGCCAGGGCGCGGGACTGGCGTGGGTCTGGGCCGGGTCTGCTGGGGAGGGAGCGGAGGGCTGAGGTGGTCTGGTGGATTGGCCCCCAGAGTGGAGGGTGGGGATAGCTTAGGGTCCTGGGAGCGCGAAGGATGCCCTGGCATTTCTTTGGGGGCAGAGGAGTCGGGACGGGGAGAGGGGCCCGCGGTGGGCCTATGGCGGTCAAGGTGGAGGGCAGGCGGTCCGCGCCCTAAGGAGGGAGTGAAGGTGGCGAGCAACGGGAACCTGGAGGTGCGCACTCCAGGCGGAGGCCGGTGGACTGGCCCCGGGCCGGAGGACGCCCGGGCCGGGGCAGAGGGGTGTCCAGGATGTGGTCGGAGTCTCCGAGAGCAGCCGGGGACCAAAGTTTGGGGCCGGGTCGGGTGTCCGGGGCCCCAGCGCGTGGTCCCGCCACGGAGGGTCTAGGCTGTCGGGCCCCGGAGCCGCCCTCACCTGTAGGCCAGGCTCATGCACTCGAAGAGGCGGGTGAGGGTGGGGTCGATGCTGCGCGGCCCGAAGTCTGCGGGCCCCATGGGCCCCTCCTGGTCGCGCCGCCGGGTCAGCGAGTCGCTGTGCGGCGACGACACCATGAAGTGACCGCTGTGGATGACCTGCGAGCGGAGCAGCCCGCCCGCGCTGCGCCGGCTACTCGGGTCCTCCGAGTCTGTGTCTGAGTCCGAGTCTTGGCTGGGGACGACCCGCGGGCCGTGCAAGCCCGCGGCCAGACCCTCCAACGCCCCGGCCATGGCTTTAGTCGCCGCCGCCTCGCCCCGGCTCGGTGGAGCCACCCGCGCGGTTCGCTAGGCTCGACTGGCCTCATTAGCATGATCCCGCCCCTCCGCCGCCAAGAGGTCGTTCGAGGGGCGGGGCCTCCGGGGCGGGGCGGGCTTAAATTAGCATAATCAGGGTGTTAAATATGAGCGTTGGCGTCCGCGAGCTCCTTGCGGGTCTGGAGTTTGGAAGAGGAAGGGGTTCTCATCTCCCCTCCCGCCTTTCCTTTTGTGGTGCCCCTACGTCGCCCGAAAGGGGTCTCAAGAAGAGTTGACTATCAGTCGTTCACACCTGAGCCTGAAAGCGCCTCAGTGCCTGGGGTTCCTTGCTTCCAGGGACGCCCCCCTGTGAAGCCCCTCACCTAACTACACCCCTCCCTCCCTGCTCTCTTCGATCTCTTGGCTCACATTCACCCCCTCTCAGTCCTGCACACAGCTGGAAGCACCCACCTCTCAGAAGTCTTGTGTGTCCTGGCCCACAGGTAAGTCTCAGCACCCCCAGTTGCCATAATGATCATCACTACACCTGCACAGAGGCCCCAGAGGGTTAATGAGTGTGAATCCAGTGCTGATGGCTGACAGCTGGCAAGGTGGAGCCTTGGTCACCCTCCCCTGGACATCCCCCAGGCAGGCCATCTGCTCAGGAGCTCCGGGCACCCCCTCTCCCCCGCCCTGAGGTCCAGCTCCTGTTCCTGATTCCCCTCCTCGCACCCTGAGAACATGAACCAGGGTGTTTGGTCTGAGGCACTCACAGGGTCACCTCACTGGCACCTATAACAATCCTCCAAGGTGGGATTCTTGCCCCACGGCCGGCGGCGTCACCAGAGTCCACAGGAGTGGAAAGACACTTGAGTATCTACAGAGGGCCAGCTACAGAACCTGGTCTGGAATTCCAGACTTCCCATGCAGGGCTATCCCTGGTGGGGGAGGGGAGGGCTAGAGGCCAATGGTAGAGGGTGTGGCCTAGGTGTGGTCACAGGAGGGACAGGTGGGGGTAGTCAGCTGGGGGCGGGAAGCTGGGAGAAGTTTCCCTCAGAGTGCTTTCCTCCTGCCCAGGATCCCGAAATCAAATGGCAGTGCTTCCAGGGTCCCTGTGACCATCTGAGAAGCTGTAATGATGACCCCAGGCAGCTCACAGGCCCGCTTTTCCACCCACCCATCCACCCACGTCCCTTGGCCCAGGTACCCTCTGTCCCTGGCAAACAGTCACCTCTCAGTCCCCGGAGCCTCGGGTGCTCTCCTCCGTTGTCCCCTGCTGTTCTCTGCAGGAGGTGCATTCTTTCCGCTCATCTCAGCCAAACTGGGGGGGCCTCAGGGTCCCACCTCAGCCTGCCTCCTCTGGAGAGAGAGCCATTCCTAAGTGGCTCTTTTGGGATCCTTGGCACAGAGACCGACCAACACAGTCGTTACTTATCCCTGATGTGCCTGACTGGCTTTGCCCCTGTCCTGTGGGCCCTGAGGCAGGACTGTTCCTCTAGTGTCTGAACCCCCAAGCTGAGCATGCAGGGACTTGGGGGAACCCATGACACTAAATAGAGCTGGTGGCCACTGTGGGGGAGAGGGGTGGGAAGCAGGGCCTCCTCTCCCTTGGAGACTTCTAGCTTTAGGGACCCACGCACCCCAACAAATCTCTGTCTTATTGGGGTTCTGTCTCTCTACCTGTAAAATGAGGCAGTTGAATTCAGTGATTTCTTAGGAATCTGTAACTGTTAACACCCTTGGTTCTGAGTCTATGCGATCAGCATCCCACCTCACCCCACCATGCTCCCCTTGGCCTCCTGTCCCCAGGATAAAAATCTCAGAATTGTCTCCTGTGGTTCAAGAGACTTTCCTGAGAGTTGGGTCTCAGTAGGGTGGGTTATATGTGTCACCCCATTTCCCTTCCTTTCCCCAGACATCAGTTGGCTCTCTCTCAACAAGCATCTGCACCCTATTCTTGCTCTCCTCAGGGCCTGATAATACCCTTGGAGGACTAGTCCTGAAAAGACGATCCCTCTGTGTGTAATTCGAAAGAAAACACTGCGACACTGTATAATAAATGCAAGGAAGTTCACAAATTCTGATTCTTCCATGACGACACCTTCAATTAGAATATCCATTACTAAATTTTTTTTCAAAAAAAAAGAAAAGTTTAAATGCTCCAAGCTTGGGGCACCTGGGTGGCTCAGTGGGTTAAGCATCTACCTTTGGCTCAGGTCATGATCTCAGGGTCCTGGAATCGAGCCCCAGGATCAGGGCATTCATCAGGCTTCCTGTTCAGCAGGGAGTCTGCTTCTCCCTCTCCTTCTCCCCCCATCCTCCCCCCTGCCCCCAGCTCACACATGTGTGCGTGCTCGCTCTCTCTCAAATAAATAAATAAAATCTTTTATAAATAAATAAATACTCCAAGCTTGCTGGCACCTTGAATGCATGCTTCATCCGCCTTGTCCAGCCTCCCCCAGTCATCGTTCCTTAACCATACTGAAGTAAGTAATATTACCTCCATTTTACAGTTGAAGAAACAGGCTCAGGGAGGTGAGGCACTTGCTCAAGTTCCCACGGTGGGAAAGGGCAGAGCCAGGCCTGACTCTGAAGTCCAGGCTCCTTCACTTATGAGGCTGCCACTCTCCCTCTTAAATACGATTCTAGCCACAGCCAGCTGGAGAAGTCAAACCAGCTGGCGGCATGGGGGCCCTGCCTGGCATGCCCGGACATGGGCACAGCCTGTTCAGGGTGCCCTTGCCCAGATGACAGTGCAGGCTTATGTGAGCTGCCCTCGCTCACCCTCGTGCTCCCTTTCCTCTCTGGCCTCCGTCACCTGCTACCCAGCGTTCACAGCCTCTCTCTACAGCCAAGTCTTGTTCACAACCCACAGAGACCCCAGGACCAGGTCCGGATTGGTGTGGGGAGCCCTGGCTGGCCAGCAATCCTGCTTGACATCACACCTGCCCTGTGTCCCAGCCTTAGTTCTCGGGATCCCTCCCCTGGGCTGCCCCTCCTCATCGGGAAAATTCGCCCAAACTAGAAGTGCCGCCTCCACATCCAGCATCTTCCTGGAGTTCCCACAACCCTATTCCAACACAACTTTTAATTGCATCCGGCTCTGCCTTCTCAGGGAGGGGTGCACATTCCTCCCTGTCCCACTAGATGGCGAATGGCCTGAACGGGAGAATCATAGTTTATTTCTCTCTATAGACCATTTTCCTCCAAGTGCAAATGTGCAAATGGGTTTTTGTCGAATGGATGAATTTATATTATATCTGTCTACTATGTGTGCTCTGTCTATCCGTCCATCCATCCGTCCATCCATCCGCACACACACACACACACACACACATACGCAGATGACATTTACTAAGTGTATATTATGTGCCTGTTGCAGTGCTAGGTATTTCATTTTTGCAAGAGTTCAAAAATACAGAAAAGCAAAGATTTGGCACTTGTAATACCCAAAGAGATGGAAAGTAGCTTAGCAGCTGCCAGGGGCTGAGAATGGGGGAATGATTGCCAATGGATATGGGGTTTCTTTTTGGGGTGTTGAAAATGTTCTCGAATGAGATAGTGGTGATATTTGCATAATTCTGTGACTATACTAAAAGCCACCGAAAAAGGGTGAGCTGTATAATAACTGTATTATATCTCAGGAAAATTAGGCACTTTTAGACATCATTGCATTTCCTGGTTGAGCCGTCAATTGTGTGTGGATGTGGATGTGTTAGGATGGTCATGGCCATTTTACAGAAGGGGAGACTGAGGCTCTGCGGGCGATTCAGAGTGCTGTTTTGAGAACTGACTCTAAATGGCTAATGTTGGTGGGGCCTAACCCAACCCGTCCATGGAATCTTCATAACAGCTCCGTGAGCTGTTTCAACTCATTTCAACTCATCTTGTAGACAAGGAACAGGCTTTGCCAAAGGTCACAAGGTAAGAAGAGAGCTGAGATTCACACACAGTCAATCCGATGCCAGCCTGCCCACAAGAACCTACGTTCTCAAATTAGAAGGACTAGCGATCATGCGGGAGGACGTGGTGTCAACAGAATCTCATCCAGGCCGTTGCCAGAGTAACTTGGCACAATCACTTTGGAAAACTATTTGTCAGTACCTGCTAGAGCCGAACATCTGCATCCCTTATAACCCAGCAGGTGTATATGTGTACCAAAGGACATGCACACAACTATTCATACAGCATTATTCTTATCAGCTCAGTACTGGAAACAACCCCAATGTCTATCACCGGCGAATGGTTACATGCATGGTGGGACAGCCACGCTACGGAATATTAACGCAGCAGTGGGAATGAACCCCCTACAACCGAATGCAAGCATATGGATGCATCTCACTGATCATACGTTGACCAAAGAAACCTGACATGGAAGTGTATGCACTGTAAGGCTTCATTTTTTTTTTATTTTTAAAAGATTTGTATTTTATTTATTTGTCAGAGAGAGAGAGAGCACACAAACAGGGGGAGCAGCAGGCAGAGGGAGAAGCAGACTCCCTGCTGACCAAGGAGCCCGATGCAGGACTCGATCCCAGGACCCTGGGATCATGGCCCGAGCCGAAGGCAGACTCTTAACCGACTGAGCCACCCAGGCGTCCCTGTAAAGCTTCATTTATATAAAGCTCCAAAACAAGCTAATCTGTGGTTTATCAGTCAGGGGAGTGTTTAGCTTAGAGGTGACAGGAGGGATCAAGAAGGGGCTTCCTGGGGTGCTGCTAACATTGTCTTTCTGTATCTGTGTCCCGGTTACATGGGTGCATTTTTGGTGAATATTCATCAAGCTGGATACTTATGCTGTGTGCACTTTTTATTTTTTAAAAAGATTTTGGGGCGCCTGGGTGGCTCAGTCGGTTAAGCGACTGCCTTCGGCTCAGGTCATGATCCTGGAGTCCCGGGATCGGGTCCCGCATCGGGCTCCCTGCTCGGCGGGGAGTCTGCTTCTCCCTCTGACCCTCCCCCCTCTCTCTCATTCTCTCTCTCTCAAATAAATAAATAAAATCTTTAAAAAAAAAAGATTTTATTTACTTATTTGAGAGAGAGAGAATGAGGGA